ATACATACATATATATATAAGCTTTATTGGTTTTGCTTCTCTAGAGAACCCAGCATAACACAATTCTGTCAAAAGTCAGTTGGGAATATTTGCATGGGTCTATTTTTGGGTTTCTTTTGTGTTCAATTAATGTAAAAACTGTGTCCTGAAGAAAACACTTCCGAAAAAGGAAGCCAGTAACTAGTTGCCTAGTTCTTTTTCCCTTCAGACCCTGCTACTGTTCATTACTCAAGGCTTTGGACCTGGGTTGTAATCCCAGCTAAATTCCATCAGTAATATCAGTAGAGAGAGCCCCAGCCAACTAGTTATCTGCTGTAAATCCCTTTTATCTCATTAGGGTAGGAAGTAGATTTACCAAGTAGAACACAGCATACAAGCAGAAAACATTTAAAATTTTATTCATTGACATTTTAAACCTGTTCTGTGAGCTATATCTTTCCCTTCCCTGAATGAATTATCACTTAGGTGTCCAGTACCTTTTCTAGTCACTCCTAGATAATTTTTTTAAGTTACTTTTAGTCACACACACACACACACACACAAAAAAAAACCCCTCATTTCAGAATTAAAGTGCCCAGTCTAGGGTAATAACCCAAACTGCTTTGAAGTAAAGTTTTAGGAAAAGAAGCCTGCAGTGGGGAAAGATCTCTTATTTCCTTTTCCCTACCTCTACCTTGCCGAGTGTATTCTTCCCTTTTGGTTTTCTAACTCAAAGTCACTTGGCATTTCTCAGGCTTAATGAACTGAAGAAAAAAATAAAGTCTCGAATAGCAATATTGAAGGATTCTGTGAGAAAAAATGTTAAATGATGCAGGAAGGATCAAAAGAAAATGGAAGGAATACACAGAATCATTGTACCAAAACGAATTGGTTGATGTTCAGACATTTCAGGAGGTAGCATATGATCAAGAACTAATGGTATTCAAGGAAGGAGGTCAAGCTGTATTGAAGAAATTGAGTAAAAAAAAAAAAAAAAATCCAATAATTGACAGAATACTCACTGAGATGTTTAAACAAATAGATGCAGGCAGTACTGGAGGTGCTTACTTGTTTATGTCAAGAAATTTGGAAGATAGCTACCTGATGAACCAACTGTAAGAGATCCATATTTGTGCCCATTCCAAAGAAAGGTGACCCCAACAACATGTGGAAATTATCCAATAATGTCATTAATATTACAAACAAGTATATTTTTGCCGAAGATAATTTAAAAACAGTTGCAGCAATATAATGGTAAGGAACTTCCAGAAATGCAAGTTGGATTCAGAAGAGGATGTGGAATAAGAGATGTCATTGCTGATGTCAAGTGGATCTTGGCTGAAAGCAAAGAATACCACAAAGATGTTTACCTGTGTTTCCTTGACTGTGCCAAGGCATTTGACTGTGTGGATCATAATAAATTATGGATAACATTGAAAAGAATGGGAATTCCAGAACACTTAATTGTGCTCATGAGGAACCTATACATAGACCAGGAGGCTGTCATTCAGACAGGACAAGGGGATACTGCAAGGTTTAAAATCAGGAAGGAATGTGTCAGGGTTATATCCTTTCACCATTCAATCTATATGCTGAGCAGATAACCCAAGAAACTGGACTATATGAAGAAAAGTGCAGCATCAGGATTGGAGGAAGACTCACTAACAACCTGCAATTTGCAGATGACACAACCTTGCTGGCTGAAAGTGAAGATGACTTGAAGCACTTACTGATGAAGATTAAAGACTACAGTCTGCAGTATGGATTACACCTCAACATAAAGAAAATGAAAATCCTCACAACTGGACCAATAAACAATATCATGATGAGTGGAGAAAAGATTGAAGTTGTCAGAGATTTCAGTTTACTTGGTTCCACAATCAACAGCAATGGAAGAAGCAGTCAAGAAATTAGATGTCATTGCACTGGGAAAATCTGCTGCAAAAGACCTCTTTAAAATGTTAAGGAGCAAAGATGTCTCTTCGAAGACTAAGGTGGGCCTGACCCAAGCAATAGTATTTTCAATAGACTCATATGCATGTTAAGCT